TGATGATCTCTATTCCTGTTGTGACCTCCTGGTCCAGTTTTCCTCTCTACTGTTCACTCTTTTTAAAACGTATTCACCATTCTCTTGATGGTTCTTTTTGAACGATTTTAAGATGGATGTCAGAGTCCTGAATACTGGTACCGTTCTCAATGCCTGATTTTTTCTCCTCTCACCATTGCTACAATTCATGTGAATAACTGAAAGGGGTTTTCATCCTGATGTCGGGTTTCCAATGGAAAATGGTTTCATATGATGGCTAAACCTCTCATCTGAAAACCTGATTTTTATTTTTTTTTTATATGGATGGACAATTATGTTCGTAACATTCATTTACACAGTGCTTGCTGTTAGACCTGGTGCACTTGCAGCACCGGACCAGATATAACAGCTTATCCGATTTCAAGTATTAATACAGATTTTCCAAATTTTTTTATAGATTCCAACGAGAAAATTATAATTTGTCTACACAGTGAACTAATTACTTATTTTTGATTTTTGTTTCTTTTGGATTCTGTTATTGATTTACCTTTTGTCTATACAGGCAAACACAAAAACAACCATTCAAAGATTTCCTTTATTTATCTTGTCGAAGGTGGGTTTTGAAAAACTGTTTTTATATATGATTTTCTAAATTGATTGATTTAGAATTTTTTTCATTCATTTCATATTTCAAAATTAAATAGCAGTATAATCATTTTTTCATTTTCATCTCAATCAAGGCGATAATGGTCTTCATAAGATAAAAGAGTTTACATGTAGTGTTAAAATAAGAGATTAATTATGTTAATTGAGGAAATTTAAAATAAAGGACTATTGAAGATTTTCCACATTTTATTAAATGTTTGAACATTGGATGTACTAGGGGAAGGGCACAAGAAAAGTAGGATTAGATTTCCAGGAGGGAGGAAAGAAATTCCGGTTAAAATAGAAATGACGTCGTCCCCCGGTCGCAGCGTCGACCGTGTCGTTCGATCCCGGTCGCGGCGCCAATTGTGACGTCACGTGCTCCCCAGGCTCTGATATCCTGGTCACGGACAGCACCAACTGTGACGTCTTCGCCGCGGCGTCAGCTGTTCGCTCCTCGCTGCTCCAAACGTGACGTTCTAACCCTTTGGTTAGATTGATACCAGCCTCGCCGTTCCCAACCCGCTTCCAACGCCTGGTTACCAGGGTAACTGCACTGATCTCCAGTCTGCCTACCCACGTTGTGAATTGATCTTAGACAGACGAGATCAAACAGGGGTTGGGGCCGTAATGCAAGTTGAGTCTAACGGGGATGATAACACACAATTATGTATAAAAAAAAATAAAATAAAAACTCACAAGGTCCAACGTATCAAAGAAAAAGGTAACAAACTTTTTATGTCTATTTGCTCGGTACATAGGACTATGTCTACTTCCCGACCCGTTCTGTGGATTGTGGCACGACGCTTTTACTAGGCAACTTTAAGGCTTCCAGTTGTCTGCTCTCTAAGAAATTTGTGTTTCGGTGTGTCTTTGGACGAAAGTCGAAAAAAAAAAAATTATTTCTGTGGTCTGATTCTAAGTCGCTCTTCAAACTACTTGTTCTTGGTTGAAGAAGAGTCCAGAAGTGTGCGTGAATCTTGGTCAGCTATCTTGACGCGGTTTCAACACTGGGCGCATCATCTCAAAACTTGTCGTCCACGGCTCAAACTCTTTCGCCGTCCGCTGCTCAAACTCTCGCCGTCCGAGGCTGAAACTCTCTCTTCTCTTCAGCTTGAAATTACTGGTCACTCATCTCCGCCGTCGGTGCGCGAATTAACTTCTTCTCTTCAGCTTCTGAATTACTGGTCATTCATCTCCGCCCATCGGTGCGCGAATTAACTTCTTCAGCTTGGGTTGGACGAATTTCTTCACTTCGGCTTGGGTCTTCTTCACTTTCTTCACTTAGGCCAAACGAACTGGCCTCTCTTGCCCGCAAAGGGGCGAATGAACCTGGCCCGCCGTCCGCGGCTCAAACTCTCTCGCCGTCCGCGGCTGAAACTCTGATTTCTGTCGGTTGGGGTCCCGCTTTTATTGACGCAGTCAAAACTGGGGTGGGTCTGTCGGCGCCAGGGGTTTTTCGATAATTCTAAATACGTATCCACCCTTCTTATTTCTGGTTAGGGATTTTCCATTTTCGGTAACTCACTCTCACTCCCACTTCCTTACTGTGCCTCTGAGGGGCGTACCCCGCTTCCCCGCTTCTTCGTATCGGCTTCTACACTTACACTTCTGACAAGGGCGTCGACCGATTCTCCTCGTGCGTCACGACCGCTCTCGGCCAATGAGGTCCTGGTCGGGTATCTTTCCTCCTCCTTCGTGTGTCATGTGACCGCTTTCGGCCAATGAGGTCCTGGTCGGGTATCTTTCCTCCTCCTTCGTGTGTCATGTGATCTTATTTAGCCAATGACGTCTTTAGTCGGGCGTGGACAATCCGTGGCTTTGTTTTGGGAAAGAACACCTTGCTTAAAAAAAAAAAATTTAATTTAAATCGCCCTTATCATGAGCGACTGAGATGACACCTTCGGCTTTTTTTTAACACGTGGTATTTGTCAAACAGTTTATCGCTAATTGGATATGATCTAAGAAAGGAATTTCTCAGACTCGTTGGCGTTTCTGAACGAAAATAAAATATTTCATTTTCCCTCCGCTCGAAGGTCTGATAATAAAAATCTTTATTATCTCAAAAAAAAAATTTTCCAGCGACATCATCTTGTGTGGTTTTTTTAATTCTGGAGACTGTCTGTGTTTTCGTATTAATGGTTTGTCTTCATATCCTTAGATACACTTCCCCACCCAACAATAGACCTTTACTATCATCCCAATGACACACCCACCACTTGTTACTTATCAATATTTTTTTTCATTGTCCCTAAACTTCGTTTCTTCAACCAAATTGATAACAAACTTCCATTTTTCGTGATCTCGGTCAGGTGCTTGACCTGAAATTTTTCGACACCTGTTATCTGTCAGCCGTGCGTGTGTTCGCCTATGACCTGTTTTCGTTTTTCGTATTTTTTTTTCTTTCTTTCTTCTTCGTTTTCTCTTTCTTTCTTTCTTCCAGATCGCTTGAACGTAAAGAAAGAATTATTCTTAAAACCCAAAATATTTTTCGGCCCTAAATAATTATTAAATGATTGATAAACCGTAAAAAACAAATCATATATCTATGAATATTTCTTCATAAAACTTATGAAATCATCTTGCTAGTTCAACAGTGAAACGGTGAGACCTAATTGCCAATCTAGTAGCACGCTTAAATTCATACAGTCGAGATGCCAAAGAGGAAAGCTCATCAGAAGAAGTGCCATGAAAATATTTCTTGCATCTAGCTAATTCAACAGACAAATGGTGAAACCTAGTTGCCATTCTAGCAGGATTGAATTTATACAGTCGAGGCACCAAGGGAGAATGTAGAAAAGACAGAGAGAAGCCACGTCACGGCGGTGAGAGAGTGACTGAAGTCGAGATGCCAATTCTGGGTCGATTACATTATCCAAACATTCTTTGAATTTTGTTAAGAATCTCGAAATATATAGTAGGAGTGCTAGACCAGATAATGCCGAAATATTCAATGCATTGATGATATTTTTTTACACATAAATGTTCTAATAATTTCTTTTGAACCCCCGTACAGTAAGATGAATATTACAAGATTAATTTGCTTTTTTTGTCTGTTTTTTATTATTTTTTGTTTTTTTGTAATGAAACTTATGTGGATTTTATTTTTAATCATCCACTTTAAAAAAAAAATGGACGCAATATCAAGACATTCTGATATAGCATTGTTTTTTCTTTCTTTCTTTTTTAATCCTTCTTTCTTCACACGACTTTACAAGAAGTCGGAAAAGAGTTCGACAGGCAAGAAGTCCGCGAAAAGAAACCATTAGAATAGAATATACGTTTGCATCTTGCTAGTTCAACAATGTAACGGTGAGACCTAATTGCCAAACTAGTAGCAAGCTACAATTCATGCAGTCGAGGCGCGAATAAGGAAATCTCATCAGAACAATTGCTATGTAAATATTTTTAGAAAAGACAGAGAGAAGCCATGTCACGGCGGTGAGAAAAGGACTGATGTCAAGATGAAAGGTTAAGATAGATTATATTACACACCCTCCTTTCAATTTTGTCAAGAATCTCGAAATATAAAGCAAAAACTCCAGGCCAGATATGGCAGCAATATTCAACGCCTGGGCGAATGGTAGATTTATAAATTTGCAAGATGGATTTTAACGAAATAAATGTCTGGCAAGACACAGAAAACCAATTCTTCTAGCAACACACCAAGTAATTGATCCAACATAATCACTCCACTTCATCTCAACGGAAAGTCGCAAAGTGTTTTTTTTTTCTCTCGGAGGTTAGCATCAGCCATGCTGATCTGAAATTTTCACTGCATAATGTTGGATTTTTTATTAATAATTATCATTGAAATTATGTAAATAAATATTCAATACTTATTTATGTAATCAAATATATACGTCTATAAGAAAAAGAGTCACACCAAATTAGTATATAGAGATATTTTCTTTTTTATCAACCATACAATATATTAAACATGTAAGTAACGAGGAAGTCTCAAATAAAACAGAAACTGAAAGGACACGTATGCTTACAATCAAAATGAGAGTTAATATTTCCGGAACACATAATGAGGAATGAGGGCTTAGAAAATTAAACACCCACAGAAAATATTGAAAGCAGGAGGGGTAAAGATCAAAAAGTGAGTAACCTACCTAATAGGTTTGTGTGGATGTCTAGCAGAACGAGGGCATAGTGATGGAAAAGAATCAAAAGTGGCTTAGTGCTGATAGAGAGAGGAAGTTGTGGAGAGTCATGATCAATTACTTTCTGAAGAGAATCGACACGTGCATGAAGCATTGTTTGTCAAGCATTATGTTTTAGTCTCGCCTCCCTCCCCTCTTCCTCCCTCCATCCATGCAGATAGATAGATAGATAGATAGATAGATAGATAGATAGATATAAACAGATTATTACATAGATAGATATATAAATAAACAAACCATACTGAAATAGATAGATAGATAGATAGATAGATAGATAGATAGATAGATAGATAGATATAAACAGATTATTACATAGATAGATAGATATATAAATAAACAAACCATACTGAAATAGATAGATAAATAGATAGATAGATAGATAGATAGATAGATAGATAGATAGATAAAACAACAATTATTACATAGATAGCTAGATACATAGATAAACAAACCATACTGAAATAGATAGATAGATAGATAGATAGATAGATAGATAGATAGATAGATAGATATAAACAGATTATTACATAGATAGATAGATATATAAATAAACAAACCATACTGAAATAGATAGATAGATAGATAGATAGATAGATAGATAGATAGATAGATAGATATAAACAGATTATTACATAGATAGCTAGATACATAAATAGATAAACAAACCATACTGAAATAGATAGATAGATAGATATAAACAGACTATTACACAGATAGATAGATAGATAGATAGATAGATAGATAGATAGATAGATAGATAGATATAAACTGACTATTACACAGATAGATAGATAGATAGATAGATAGATAGATAGATAGATAGATAGATAGATAGATAGATAGATAGATATAAACAGATTATTACATAGATAGCTAGATACATAAATAGATAAACAAACCATACTGAAATAGATAGATAGATAGATAGATAGATAGATAGATAGATAGATATGAATATATATGCAGCCGCTTGCGTCTGTGTTGGAGAGATGATTTAATTATTGCCAACACGTTCTTCTTGATAGAAGTGGCGGCTGTTACGACACTAGTAAGCCTAAAATTGACTGAACGATTGATGACATTTTACAGACGTAATTAATTGTAAAGATAACCTCTAAATCCAATGGGCCACTAAGCCGATTTCAATTTGAAAGATTCATCAATCCGAACGTGAGTTCGCTGCCTGTTCATGAAATCATGTGACTCTTCACAAGAATTTTCCCTGTCATATATCGTGAACTAACAGTTGGCAATCACTTATTTATTATTTAAAGTCGTGTTAAAACTCTTAAACCTGAGGAATAGAATCAATTGTTTTACGCTGGTTATTTCATTTTCATAGAATGAGAAAGAATCCAAATAATTTAATGCCTGTATTTATTCAAGCAATTTACTTTAAATAAAAATGTTTAAGAAATTCTTGACGGTGGCGATCTTGCGTCAATTTAGCCTACGGGCTAAATAATCAGTCATCGATCATTTATCGTAACAATCAGCATTCTTCTCGCATTAACCTGCAGTTAACTAATTGACATTACATTTCTCTTTATACCGACATACATACACACATCGCTCGAGAATTTCTTTCCTTAATGTATAAATATGCAGAAATTTTCGGTAGGTCAAAAATGGACCCCCTGGACCGGAACTAAATTCTGAGGTTTGGTCATTCGATGTTGGACGGGGCGAACGAAAACTTTTCACCATCAAACACCATATATATATATATATATATATATATATATATATATATATAGAGAGAGAGAGAGAGAGAAATTGAGAGAGATGGAGGTAGGGAGAGAGAGAGAGTTTTTATTTTTATTATCAGAAACGCAGTAGACTTATATTAATATATATATATATATATATATATATATATATATATATATATATATATATATAGGTAAGTAATAAATAGCTGCATTTTGATCCTAGCAGATCCGAAGTCTAGACACATATAATGAGTTGATTTATGAATGAAAAGTAACTCCAAATTTTTTTATGTATGATTGACTCTCCCGTCGTATTATTATAGTAAGACGAGAGATTCATCATCATACGTAAAATAGGGAAGGACATTCCTTATTCTATATATATATATATATATATATATATATATATATATATATATATATATATATATATATCCATTTTTGCCATCGTATTCGACGTATGAGAATCAAGCAACTTAGTTCCTAGGAACCGACAGCCAAACACTAGCACATATCATTTGGTTATGGCGGTGAAGGCAGAACCAACCACACTTTTTGGGGGACTGAATACAGACACCTGGTGCACAACATGCTACATGGTCCCCATAAAACCTTCCTCAGATTTTTTCTTTCTCCTAGTTGCCATCCAAGACAATTTATTGGACATATAAATATATATATATATATATAATTATTTATTTAAAAATATGATTCGATCGCTACATAAGAGTTCTCATGTTTCAAAACAAGAGCCGAAAACTTCAATATAATTATTTGAATTAAATTGAATTAAAGTACCAATCTTCAAGAGAAATTTTTTGGAATAACTAATTCTTGAAAATTTACGCGTTTTTATAAGCATATTCATATTAAAATTAAAATTACTATGGTAACGGCTAGAGCTATTATTCAAAGAGGTCACGTCAGGGTAAGGTTGGGGTGTCTAAATTCAAAGCAGAAGATGACATCGTCTAGTCTGGTTAAGTGTCTATGGAGATTTTTTTTTCCTGAAAGGGTTTTGTGTATATAAAAAATGGTAAAACCCCTTATGAAGTCGTCAAAAAAACAAATGTCAGCAAATTATGACGGTTTTTTTTATATACACAAAACACTTTCAGGGAAAAAATAAAAAAAAATAAAAAATAATAAATAAATAAATAAATCTCCATAAACACTTAACCAGACTAGACAATTATGTCTTCCGCTTGAAATTTAGACACCCCAACCTTACCCTGACTTGACCTCTTTGAATGTAACTGAGATATTGATACAAATGATTAACCCTTACGCACCTTTTTTTTTTTAAATAATTGCTCTAGCCGTTACGTTATTTTAATTTAAGGGGTAAGTTCGACATTCCAACCACTTGAAGAAGGCCGGAGCATACAACGGCCGAAACGTTGTAATAAATATGGCGACAAAGATGAGGACAATAGTCCGAATAATGTAAATAATGTATTATTAATGGGTTTAACATTTCTATTTTGTGTCTTTAAACAATTCTTAGACACGCCTTTTTCTACGAGAGATTGGGAATTACTTTTATTTTTTGTTTTATTTTTTATTTATTTTTTTATTTTTTATTTTTTTTATTTTTTATTTTTTTTATTCATATATTTTTCTTTCTTTTTTTTTTTTTTTTTGACGAGTGCATTAATAATTTTGGTGTATATAACTGATTTTTCCTGAGACTAATCTTAATATCTAACCCATACTTGGAGCGAAAAGATGGATTCAAGGTTTTCCCCAAAGAAACGCACGTAAGTAAATATAACGATGCCTACTGGAATTCGAACTTGGTTCTCCAACTATGATTTCGAACTCCTCCCTGGAGTGAAAGATCTTTACTCCGCTTGCTTGATTGTGATATCTTTACATATTCAAGTTTGAAATCCTTAAACTTTCTAGGAATTGAAGTTGGTATAGAATTCTCTTGATTCTGGCAATGGAGTTTAACGTTGAATTGGGCTTTATGGATATAACGATGTACAGAAGATTTGGCGCAAGGAACATGAGGCTTTCATCTCAAAGAATACAATGCCAGCATTAAAATATTCCAAACTCCAATGCTTTTTATGCCACACTTCCCGTCAGTGGAACTCTCTCCCTCTTACTTGCTTCCCTAATAGCTAACCTTCAAATATTCAAATGTAATGTCAATCGACATCTTCTGATGCCTTGATCGTGATCCCCGTCCTTTTCTATATCCTTTTCTCAAACACCCCTCTTTACTCTTGCTCTCACTCTCTGTAAACCCTTTGGGTACTAGAGGCACTTCCGCCTTGCTTGGGGTGAAATGATTAAAAAGAAAATGTTTCCTCTCCTCTTTCAATTTAATCTGATTATTAAATTAGCCATTCTTCTATATTATTCTACCTCTGTCCCATAATGATTGTTCTATTTAGTCTTTGACATTTGTATGTAAATGGAACAATCATTATCTGACAGAGATCGGAACTCCCTTCCCTGTTGCTTCCTTGATAGCTAGAATCTTTAAATAATCAAATGTAATGTCAATCGACATCTTCTGATGCCTTGATCGTGAACCCCGTCCTTTTCTATATCCTTTCCTCAAACACCCCCTCTTTACTTCTGCTCTCACACTCTGTAACCCCTTGCGTGCTAGTAGCACTCCCACCTTCCAAACCGCTATTTATTGCACCACCTACACACACCTCCTGTAAATAAAAAGCAACTAGGAAAATATTTTAGGATAAATATAACACTAAAAATTACCTTTTGATTTCACTTTCTGTCACCTTTATTATTTTCTTTCAGGTGGTTGAAAAGTAGCATTAAAATCCCCTCGATTCGTAAAAGCTTGTCAGTGAGGCTTTTTAGCAACTTGATCTAATTCAAGAATCTTTATTCTTATTCTAGAATTGACAGCTTGAATCAGTTTTCTCTTTTGCGACTGATTAAAATCATAATTATTGGCTTTTCCATAAATGTGATATAGAATTAAATTTAGTTTCTTTTAGATCTGAAATGAAAACAGAATATAATTTCAAAGAAACATCTAAAATAATAAAGAGAAGAGTGAATGGACAAGAGAGAGAGAGAGAAAGATAGTGTATGTAGAAAGAAGAGAGAGTTATTTGGAGTTATCCACTGAGAAATTTCAATAGATTTCACCCGAACTAGTCTTATAATCTGCACAATCATGTAACTACCGTGACAGAGAGAGAAGGCGGGGGAATTCACGCACGCGCATTGAGGCAGCTTCATTCCTTTATACTAAATATGATAATACGAAAAGTAACGACGTCCTGAGGCCGACATTTTTGCTCAATTTTATTGAAGAAAAAAGAAAAGGAAAGAAGAGGAAGAAAATGTTTTTTTTTTCTTTTTCTTGCCGCAGGTGTGTGCTGGAGGAAAAGACGCTTTTATCGATGAGATATGAATTCAGCTCGCTGTCCATTCCGTTCCACACACGCCTCGTCAACAACGTCACTGTCACCACCGGCTGTGCTGACGTCACTGACATCAGTCACTCCGCTCGCAGACCCCACCAGGCCACGATCCGAATACACAAAACTCTAGAGCCAAATAATGTTTGTTGAATCGATCCGTGCAGCGAGTTGCCAGTTTATCCACGACTTCAATTGACACAAAGGGCATTCACTTGTTCGATCTTGATGCTCAGAATAAGAAGAAAAAAAAACTAAAGTATGTAGGAAATCAGAATAGAATGTATTTATTTCAAAAGATGCTTGTAAGTAAGATTTTACAAGTTCACGAATGCATGAATAATGAAGAAATTGGACGCTTTCTGCGGCTTTAGCATTCCTTATAGACCAATTATTATCGAGATAGATGGTACCGCCTTGCTGGAGAATATAAAAAGCTGCAAGGTGCCAGTGAGAAGAAAGGAGACCGTTAAGGAAAAGTGTCTGCGTCGGAGTGTCTGTCATCAGTATAAAGAAGAGATTCTTAATCTATATGTCAAAATCTAAAGCTGGAATCATTGAAATAAAATTTACATAGATTTATGCGTGAAATCATTCTTTTACTTTATTTTGTGATCTGTAATGATCCAAACGAAATGATCCGATTTTGATAACATAGCCTGAACAGAGCAGGACTCATATATCAGTCAGATGAGGGGTAGATTAGTAATCATGGAGATTAGTAATCATTGATCATCTTGATAGGTATAATTTCTCACGTGCGATTGGGTATTGTTTTAAATTTGAGGTATAGCTAATCCCAAGAAAGAAATCTGCGTCAATTTTATGACCGGGTGCGCGCTCGGGATGGACAGCCTATGAGTTAAGATATCATCAGCAGCTGGAAACAAAGATTTGCTTATAGAGTTTATAAACATAAGTTATTAAACGCAAATGTATTCACTTACTGAGTGTACGAATTCAATAACGTTACTAATGATTATGCATTCTCTTACAAGATGCGGTGGTTGGTCAATGATGACAAACTATTGACCAGAAGACCATATGGGCGTGGAATTCTGAGAGTGATAGCTTGCCTTTGTCTAACGACAGGACTGAGAAGCAAGAATTTTAAAAAGTCAACACGCTCCCAAATTCCTTAGAGAGTATAGGCTGCACGTGGTTAAATGCTAAACTAAGATATCGGCACGCGGTCCTCAGAAGATCTTCCTCCCGTTATTTCCTAGAATCGATGCTACCACGACTGTTTTGTCGTATAATAAAGCGATAAAAAGGTGAAATCTTTTGTTTATACAGTCTATGACGTGCCATTGGAAGTCTGAAAGACTTTAGTCAGTGACCACACGACACTTGAGTAATTTTATTTGTATCTATATTACAACTCTCAAATATTTCTTAGGTTTCCAAAACATGCTAATTTATTGAGCAATAGGAAATGCAAACAATATCCGATTCTTATTTCTAAATGAGGATCTCCTGTGGAAATCAAAACATGAATTGTTACTTTTCGACTAAAATATCAAGCACTGACTGTAGTATGTGATTCACGACAAAAAATACCGGAAGTTTGAATTGAATTTAGTGTCAATCAAAAACCATTAATCTAAAAAGAGGTGATCTGTGGTGACCCCAAAAGATTAGTACGTTTTGTACTCGGTGTGACCTCGGAACTCAAAAGACCTAGAAGCTGTGAAAGTTGATCTAGAAGGTGACCTCAAAGCTACCAAATGTCGAAGGATTTCAGTAGGAATTCCAAGATAAACAAGTATGTGGATCCAGTTGAACTTGAACATTCGCAAGGCAACCAGATAACAGAAGGTTATATAAACGTCCGACCCCCGACTGAAGAAGGAGAATCCTTTATATTCTCGCAGAAAGGTTGAACGTTCAAAGAAAGACGAGAAACCACATAACATCAATTCTACTGATTTAATTTAACGAATATTTATTGAATAAACAGGGTTTTTTTTTACGTTTGAAAAATTTAGTTTCGGATTCTTAGAAACTTATCTGATGAATAACGCGCAAGTAAATTAAACCAGAAATCGGAGAAGAACAGTGTGGTTTCGTTAAACGGACTGAGACAAAGAATTCAATATATTATATTTAGAATGATATCAGAAAAGAGCAATCAAATGAAGAAGGGTTTATACCTATGTTTTATAGATTACGCAAAGGCGTTTGATAAAGCAAAACAACTATTTCAACTGCTAGGTAAGCTTTATTTACTTGTGAAAGTTCTTAGAATAATCCAGAACTTATGCTGAGAGCAAACCTAAAATCATAATTTTTTTTTTTAATCATTTCACCGTAAACAAGGCAATAATGCCACTATGACACAAGGTGGCTACTGAATGTGAGAGGATATAAGAAAATGAAAACATTATCAAGGAGAGAGAAGAATAAAAGAACACGAATGAAGAATACAGAAGAAAACACTTGGCATTGCCTTTAAATTTTTCAAAGTTGATTAGAAAGCAAGAAGCCAGAAAAGAGTTTCACAAGTGAGAAGTGTGAAAAAGAAACTATTTGTCTATATTTCTGAGATGAGGTATTATGTACATTATTTACATTATTCGGACTATTGTCCTCATCTTTGTCACCATATTTATTACAACATTTCGGCCTTTCAGTAGCTGTCTATATTTCTGTGATGAGGTATTTGTACATTATTTACATTATTCGGACTATTGTCCTCATCTTTGTCGCCATATTTATTACAACGTTTCGGCCTTTCACTAGCTGTCTATATTTCTGAGATGAGGTATTATGTACACTATTTACATTATTCGGACTATTGTCCTCATCTTTGTCGCCATATTTATTACAACGTTTCGGCCTTTCAGTAGCTGTCTATATTTCTGTGATGAGGTATTTGTACATTATTTACATTATTCGGACTATTGTCCTCATCTTTGTCGCCATACATATTACAACGTTTCGGCCTTTCACTAGCTGTCTATATTTCTGAGATGAGGTATTATGTACATTATTTACATTATTCGGACTATTGTCCTCATCTTTGTCGCCATATTTATTACAACGTTTCGGCCTTTCAGTAGTTGTCTATATTTCTGAGATGAGGTATTATGTACACTATTTACATTATTCGGACTATTGTCCTCATCTTTGTCGCCATATTTATTACAACGTTTCGGCCTTTCAGTAGCTGTCTATATTTCTGAGATGAGGTATTATGTACACTATTTACATTATTCGGACTATTGTCCTCATCTTTGTCGCCATATTTATTACAACGTTTCGGCCTTTCAGTAGCTGTCTATATTTCTGTGATGAGGTATTATGTACATTATTTACATTATTCGGACTATTGTCCTCATCTTTGTCGCCATATTTATTACAACGTTTCGGCCGTTGTATCTAAAAATATTTTTTGGCTTTAAATAACCTGCAAAGGGTTGATAAACCGTAGAAAATGAATCAATCAATCATAGAACACAACATGTATTAAGCGTATTCAAAATCAGAAAGAAAAGAATTTTCGGTGTTCAAAAATGGCAGATGTTGCTGGAAGAATGGGGTTCTCATATTTAAATTATTTACAGTAAATTAATTCTAAATTTCTCCGAGCATTATCTAAAAACGAATCCATAACAAAAGCCCAGGGAATAAAATCCCAGCGGGCAAACACCATGTGGACATAAAATCTAAGCCGCTTATCCCAAAAGTGGACAAAATCCCAGTTTCATATTAATTAATAAGATTGAGTATGAAGGCCATTCACCTGTTATCATATCATATTATATTACGATCGGATATATTATAAATTTATATTCCTTTCATGCATGCGTTTCAATTGATTATACATAACTATGTATACATAAATAAAACATAAATTTTTGAGCATGAAATTAAATTTATATATTGAAGACTGTGTTTATTTTACCAATTTGACATTGAAGTGTATATGTTGGATATTGTACATACATGTGTACATTCAATGTAATCGTTATAATTGTCTCAATTTGATATTAAAATTTGAATTAAAATTTCCTAGGTTTTTGTCCGCTTGGATTTTGCCGTCTGAGATTTTGGTCCTGTTATATCTAAAAACATATCCTTATTTTCTGAGATGTCTGACTTAAATGGACGTAGTATCGTCAAGACTACAAAGAGACGGAAGTATGTCATCTATGAAATCAGATTGTTTAAAAGCTCTAAGGAGATTATATTTCACCTTTCTCCGTGTGTATACCAAACGTGAAAATCAATATTCAAAGCCTAATCTGGAACCAGACGTTAACGGCTGGCCTCGTCAAAATTATCCTACCTACTATTTTAAACACCTAAAATGGACAGGGCTAGTGAATAGGAAGTATAATGAAACACGTCATATATATAAATATATGTGTCAATGCGTGTGAGGGAGATTTTCGATATATCTGTCTGTGCGCCTATTAATATAACAATACATATTACTCGATAAAAAATAAAATGCCTGCAGTATTTACAAAAAATTATTAAAATTCACTGTGTCGCTGGATATAATTCAATCAAAGAAATTTCATCGTAAAAAAGGACTGAAGATCCAATTTCGGTTTATTCATACAGTGTTCCAAAAATGTACTGATTTACTGAGATCGTAATCAGTTTAAATATTTATAAGCATGCATTTAATTTCATTGAATATTTAATGTAAACCCTTAATCTTTTTTGTAAGTTAATTCTATAAATCTTATGTCTCGGCCTAAACTCTGAAATTTTATTTACTGTTTATTTATTTTTACCTCAATAAAAGTACAGCGTGCGAGAGGGAAATAGCCGCCATTTTATATTTTTAATTTCACGCATGCGCGTTGTTTTTTGGGGTTTTTTTTATTTTTTTTATTTTAACGACTGCACGGTACAGTAGTGTCAGTTGGGTACCGTCTGTGAGAAAAATAGGAACATGTCGCAATTCATTCCGCCAGAAATTTGGAAACGGCATTCTGTATTGCTTGACATTCGCGCCTGCAGCTCCAATACGAACATTTCTGAGTGGCAATCTGAGGAGAGTGCAGAGGATTTGGAAAGAGTTGGATAATATATCCAGTCAACACCATGGTGATCACTAGTGATGGCAACGCTATGCCTCTATTCATCTTCCTACATGCCTCAGACTCATCATGGAAGCCTACATAAAGCGCCTAGATGAGGAAGTGCTTCATTGGATCAAGAGGGTGCTGGAAGACCCTTTGTCTGGCAACAGGACTCACAAGCAAGAGAACCCAAACCTGGCTAACAGACAATTTCTGCGACCACATCACCCCTTACAGCTGACCACCTACCTCCACAGACAGCACCCCACTTGATTATTGTGTGGGTTGCAGTTGGGCGAGAGATTAACCAAACTCCTTGTAACACCAAAGATGAACTGTATGCAAGCATTATGACATCATTCCCCAACTTAAACAAGAGAACCGTCGGTATATTTGCAAGAGATTCCAAAGTCGTCTGGAGGCCGTGGTTGAAGCCAATGACGATTTTATATAGCTGGGCAGATT